CCTTTTCACAAATATTTTCAGTTGACTATTTTATAATTTCCTTATACTTCGATGGGTATATAAGTTCATAATCTACCCTCTCCCTTACCCTCTAGAGACCCTCTCTTTTTCCATCATATTATTCCAACGTATTGCTAACAAATTGTGCACAATTTTCACCAATTTACAATTTTATGATGCGCAATTGCTGCAAACGCGAAAAGAAAGAAACACAACACGGCTATGAAAAAAACTTCATTAAAGCAAATATTGCGAATTAAATTTATGTTGCCAATTTAAATACATCGAAACAACAACGCCACCGACTATAGAAAACAAATACAACCAAAAAAAAAAAGGTGTAAAGACTAAAAGGCTGTAACCAAGCCAGCAACAACAACTAATCGAGCTGGTCATCAATTGACCAAAGCCAGGTAATGGTCGGTCACAGCCCAGACTTCTTTTTTTTTTCTCCCCCGTTTATTATTTTTTGCAGCCAGTCCTCTCTTCACGAGACGGAAGACCCGAGCCATCGACGATCGATCGGAACGACAACGCGCCCATATAGACGAAACTGAGGGAAAGATTCAGGGATCGAGAGGAGCTGGGGCGGAGGACGATCGATCTTGGCAGCAGCCAGCAGCAGCCGACGAAGAGTCATCCAGGGAAAACCAAAGGAAAAATAGAAAAAAAAAAAAACAAAAATAAATAAAAGCAAAGTGGGTGAAGCGAGGCAGGAGCTGCAGGCGGGTGGCCGAAACAAACATAGCCACACATGCGACGGCTGACGAAAAATGCAAAACAGTGGAACTGGGTCTTAGGATATTTAAAAATTATAAAAGGTCTAATAAAATTATATTGAATATGTGTTAAATAAATAAATTTACAAGTAATTTAATAATTAATTTATTGAACAATAAAGATTTAAAATTAACAGAACGGAAAACATAAAACTTGATTTCTAATTTGAAAAAATTTGTATTCATATTTTATTTTATTTCATTTTTTGCGATTTCAAATATTAAAAAAATATTTTAAAAAATATTATCAAAAGTATTATTAAAAAAATGAAACCACTGTACCATCGATTTGCCTCGCCCGCCGCCATCGACATCATTTGGCACATGTGAACACCAAAAGAGATATGCCCACCGACCACCGCCAGACCCCACTCCGATCCTGATCCCGATCCCGTCTTCGTGTTCGTCTCGGAGCCGAGTTTGGAATATACGAATTCGCTTGACCGCTCCAACGTCCAGCTGTCCGTGTGTCCATCGAAGATCCCCGTATGGGGCGAGTCGACGGGCGGCCAATTCACCTGTCGCGCCGTTTTGTTTGCCTTACGCAAAAAAAAAAAGCCAAAACCAAAAATAAATAATAAAAAAAAAGGAGGAGGAGCAGCGAAGGAGCTGCGACCTAGTCGTATGCAGCTTTATGCGAAAATTCCATGAATCTGATCGTTTCGGTGGAAGCGTATTAGATATTTGGCATTTCGGCTTTCCACTGACTGACATACAATGCCAGAGCCAGGAGGAGTAGAGAGATGGAAAAAAAGGAAAACCCGGCGGGGTCAGCGCACACACGTGACCCCAAATGATCGATGGAATTGCCGAGCTGAGGAGTCTGCAGAAATTAAATGGATTATAATTATTATGCATGGCACGTTGCAGAGCCTGGCTCACTTTTATTGTCAACCAATAAAGTGGCCAAGAGGGCAAAATCCGGCGGACAGGCCATGTTGGCCCGGGAATTGATTTGGCCCGCAGCGACCATTAACAGCCGCAAAGGCTTAGCCTCAGATTCAGATTTTGGCATCATCATCTTTGGTCGAAGAAGCCAGGGAAATAACCCTAAAGCCGCTTTGGATGATGATCATCGGGCTGCAGGGGCCGAGTGGATGACATCAGGTGCAGTCACAGTGGGTCTAGAGTAAGGAAAATTAAAGAAATTACAGGAAAATACAATCAGAATAATTCAAAGAAGAACGTTTTTTCTTATTAATTTATATAAAAATAATATATAAACTTCTAAAATATTTAATAATATTTTTTAGCTTTCACAAAATCACATAAGCTCAACTGTCTGACTTGGGCAAATTCCTGCGGACATTTTTGCTGACCTTAAAAAACACAGACAACGAGGCATGTAACAACATAAACAACAGAATACTATTTGGCCTTTTGCACCTTTTTGGCATGAACAACTTTTGGTAGTGGGAAGCGGCTAAGGAGCAGGAGCAGCAGGAGGAGGAGGTGGAATCTCCCCGGGATGAGCTGTGTGCGCCGCGAGAGATCTTTATTTCGGGTCGAGGCGGCGGCCGATCGGCCAAGCCGACAACGCCCCGAAAGGCACAATTAAAATTTCACGCTTTTTTTCCCCGTGACCAAGGGGCTGAGGAGATGTGTGACCATCAGGACCAAAAAGAGACACCACCTAGGAGCCGAAAAAAGCAGCAAAAAAAAAGAATACACAAAACAGAAACACCTTGACCATTTTTGGGCTTACATTTTAGTCAGCGAACGAAAACAGTGCGGCGGCATTTTCGCTTTGAGGCAAGCCCAGGAGCAATCTTTCAGCGGTGACTGCACTGAGAAAAAAAATCTGTATTAAAAAGTATAAAAATTCCATACCAAATATAAACCTAAGACAGCAGATAAAATAATTTAAAACTTGGCCCAAAAACTAGATTTCCAATTTAAAATAAAATGTGAAAATATTATAATATTTTTTATACTCCTCTAGCTTCTACAACGATTTTATTTTGAGTGTTGCAGCACTGTAGGAGCCGCCACGCGTGCAATTTGCAGTCGTCGGGGAATTGCCAGCGGCCCCTGGACACAAGCCCACAAACCCACAAGCCAACAAACTTGCAGAGTGGAGAGCTGCTCAGCTCTTCCAGAAAGTGTTAATTAGCAGCGCGCGTGCTAATTACCAATGCCAGTTGTGAGTGCAGCCAATGACAGCAGCAACATGAGCTGCAGCAGCAGCAGCAACAACAGCAGCAGCAACTCCGGCAGCAACATTAAGTCCGGCAGCAACCAACAATAAGATATGTTGCAAATGGCAGGCGGGGAAAATGTCAACGTCAGCGGCGCCACAACGTGTTTAGAGATGCGTAAGTCGGTCGGATGAAATATCAATTAAATGCGAATTAATGTAGAGATTTCGAGAATGTGTCCACAAAAATGCATAATAATCTAAGCATTTTTATTACAATTTAATTTACTCGAAAAATACATTTGAAATTACTTTGGGAAATGCTTTTTTGTTTAATTTTCTCAACGAAAAGTACTTTAAGAGTCAGTCAAACTTTTTACGTTTTAATAAGTACTTTATTTTGTTAATAAAATATATTTTATATCCGAAGCAGAAACGTTTTGTTTTCTAGCGAAGGGAATGATAATGCTACAATGATATTATAATTATTATTATGAGTAACAAACTTGGCATGTTAAGAATTATTAAATTAAATAAATAAAACCCTTTAATATATTTCGACATTAAAACCTATCATCAAATTTTATGAGTGCTGAGACTATATAAAAGATATAAACAATTTTCGTAGTATTTTAAAATATTTTAAAATTTTTAAAAACTATTTTCAATTTTTGCGTTTGCCTTTCGAATAAATCACAAATTCAATGTAATAATTAAGAACTACTTATTTTTATTTTCTTTGGTTTTTTAAACACTTCGTTAACCATTTTTTCATGGTTACAATTTGTTTACTAACCTAAAAGAACCGCAAATAATTTAAATAAACAATAAACTCCGAAATTAACAAAAACCTCCGAAAAGTGTGCTACAAAAAATATTCACCCCAAAAGTTGCCACATCACCTAAAGCTGACCTGTCGGACATTGCTTTTTTAACAGTCTGGCAACTCAATAACAAGATGGTGGTGCTTTACAGCACTGCCATTACAGCTGTTGTTGCGCCATCGATAACAGCAATGGAAGCAAATATCGATTGAACTTAAATGGCGTTTGTTTTGATCGCGTATACGCAAAATAAAACCGAAACAAATATTAAGCATACGTACAGTGGGACCAAGGCGAAGTTCTAGCAAAATGATTTGCAGTGAATAAAATTCAATAAAATTAAGGAAAATATATAAAAATACAAGTAAATACTTGTAATTAATTAAACATAAAATAAGTAAATATTTACAAATTTAAAGTGCTTTTTACTCTGCTTTTGTTTTTTACGCCTTTATTTATTCCATAAATTGTCGACTTAGTTTTTCGTTTTTTTAGTCCAAAATAAACTTATTTTTGGATGTAAAAAAAATCTTAAATATATTTAGGTAACTATGTAATATTATTTTAAAATCTCCTAACTGTTAAAGTACATTATTTTAACATTAAAAAGTACTCTATCTATAGGTATTTTCTTATTTTATCGTCAAAAAAGCATTTACTTAAATATAGTAATCAATGCTTGCCTTCTGTAATTACGCATTTAGCCAGATTTATTAACCAAACGAACCCGAAAAACAAAAACAACCCAGATCGAAAGAGAGATGTGGAAAGAGAATCAGGAAAGAGAAGAGCATAAGAGAGAAACAAACAAATAGAGTCTGTATTTAAAATAGTTACTCTCAAAATGTTAAACCAAATTATTTTACACAATAATGTTAAATAAAAGCCATAAAGTAAGATCTGAGTTTGCTTTACTTTTCTCAGTTAAAGGAGACACTTTATTTATTTATTCAATAAAGAAATAAAAAAATCGTTATCCCCATTAATAAATTTATTATAAGTTTAACACACAAGAACCCCACTACCCACTGTGATGCCTAGCTCTTGGCAATTTTTAACATTGTTTTGGGAAAACAATTTGGTTCAACAGTCTCTGTTAGGCTGAGAGTCGACGCCACCTCGCTCTGGAGAGTGGGGAGCTTCTCCCTCTCTCGGTTTTTGGCGAGGGAGACCATTCGGAGGGCTTCGGCTTTTGAAGAAACCTATAAATACGAGTGCGACCGCACATTCGAAAGATTTTAATTTCTTCGAAAGCCCAGAGCTAACAAAAAAGTGCAATTTCCTAAACGAAATTTTCTTGCTTTTCATCCGATCGCGAAAATATCAAACGTTGATGGACGCTTTCGCGGATGCTCGGAAGCCAAATTGTTCTTAACTCCAATAATAAATACATTACCTCCACTCAAAGCGGTTGTGTGTCTGTGAAAAAACCCCTTAACAACATAATATATCAACCCAAAACGGTGGCCTAAACAAAACAAAAATACGGGGCATTGCCAAAATAAAATAACAACAACAAAAAAAGAGAGATAAAATACACAGAAAAACAAAAACAAACTGAGAAATAATGGACAGACAAACCGTCAATTGAAAACAAATAGTACAATGAAGTTTTATTTTTGGATCAGTTGGACTCTCGGCAAGTAAAGGTAACGCCAATTCGTAAATTCGTAATCTGCGTAGGCCAGCGACCTAATTTCAGCGCTAAGTACAAGTATTTCCCCCTGGCCGAATGCCTCTTTTCTTTCAGGTTTTATATTTTTTTCGCTGTCTTGGCCGCTTTACTTTTTTGTGCTTTATTTTTTTTATCAACCCAATATATGCGCAATTTGCGCGCTGCAAATGCGAAAGATGGAATTTCACTGGCCGCTTCCTTTTATGGCTCGAATTGATAAACCGCCATGGAGAGACAGACTCACTCTCGGTGATATAACCAGAATCGGTCAAATGCATTTGCATAAATGCACGTGTCGGCGGATTTTTTCGCCTCTTTTGGTTTTCGGTTTTTGCTACTTTACTTTTTTTTGCCGAATAATGAAAAAAATATTGTATGATTTTGTATGCGGCGGCCGTCGTCGTCGCGACGCGTCGTTTACCTAACACCTTTCCATTCTACCGCCGCCCACGAGTAAATTTAATTACTATATGTCTGCATTTCGGCGCCCATTTGCACTGCACTTAGCTACAGACGCGGCCAAGAAAATAGGAGCTTGAAGAACTACATATAAATGAACTGCATATGTATGATCTTTAGGAACTCTAATGAAAATATTTTAACTTCAAAGCCTATTTGAAATAGTCATAAGAATATTTTTATATTTTTGAGATAAAAATATATAGTAAGCAAAAGAAAGAAATTAGGTTTTCTTCATGAAATATACATTTTTTTATTTTGAAGTAAGTAAATAAAAGTACCTTATGTTATTATTGTTTGTTTAGTCCAAATTAAACTAATCTACCAATACCTAAAATATATATCCTAGAAATCTGGAAATACCTGTATCTTTACATGCCATTGGAATTTTCCGAAAAATAAGAAAAAAAAACCCAAAAACTTGACAATTCAGCAATATTCTTCTGTCCCAAGCTGTGTGCATTGGCTGTACATGTGCCCTCGTGTGTGTGGTATCAAAAATTGAAGAGTTATCAGGCAATCAGTTTTGGCATATGTTATAACACACTTATCGTTCGAATCGAATCGAAACGAAAGGCAAACAACGCTGGTAGCGTGTTTGGGTGGTAATCAGAGTGTGTGTACCTGTACCTAAAGATACGGTTACGACTTATTTACGACTTGGTTACAGCAGCCAGACTCCAGACCAGATAAAAAACGGGATTAGATACATATATAAGAGCTAAATAAATCAGAGAATATGAATAAAAGTGCATTCCAACGCCATGGGTTCTATTTGAACAAGTGATTAAGATGGGCCCACGATAACACTAAAATGGCAGCACTGATTCCTCAGATAAAAGGGAGCCTGCACCCAAGATGCAGGCAGTATAGTTTTAAACTTGCAGTGGTTAGGTTATATTTATATATAATTCAAACCTAAACCAAGTGCAACCAGTTAAGGTTTTACATATAAGGCGAAATATTAGCCCTAAGATTGCTCTTTACTTTTATTATATTAATTTCACAATTTTATTAAATTATAAATAAACAAATACTTTCACATCTTACTAATTTATACTTACTATTTTATTTTCAGAGATTCTGTGCGGCGTATTTAACCGAAAAAATATAGAAACACGTGCCTTGAAAGTTATACACAAATTTAAAATTGCATATATATAGTCGTCTATATATATTCTATAGAAATTTTTGATTGAACTTTGATCGAAGGACGCTGCGCACGTGAAATGGCCAAGTTAATCATAATAATTTGCTGTTTCCTTTGGTTCACTGGATTATCGGGTGAGTAAATATTGCCAAAAATAGCGCAATAATGAAGTGAATCAGTACCGCGAATCGAATAATATAGTCGTCGTTACGCATGTGTTTACTTTGACCCTCTTGAGATAATTTCCTTTAAAAAAAGAAAAAGTGAAAACCGAATGGAAATGGCCTACGTCACGGCAGCAGCATCATGGGGCTATATATATTCATACATATCGATCGGATTTATCATATGACGTGTCGGAAACTATCTATAGAGTCGGTTCTGGCCATATGCCATGTGAATCTGCCGCAGTCTTCTTCGTTCTTTGTTTTTTCTTTTTGTTTTGTATTTTTTTTTTTTTGTAAACACATTGCCGCACCAATTTTGTGGTTTCTGTTTTTGTTCTTTTTTGTGTTTTTGTTTTGTTTCCGAATTTCATTGATAATTCAAATGGCCGCATATCATAGGTGTGTGAATTTTCGGTTGTATTTCGTTTTGTTATTTTCTTTGTGTTTCTTTGCGTCGTCTCTCTCTCTGGGCATTTCTCAAAATATTGTTTATTTTGTATTCGATTCGGTTTTGTTTGGCTTTCGCTGGCGAAATGTTTTTCTATGAAGCACCGGAGCACCAGCAGCGACCTTGATGCCAGCTTTCGAAGGGCATGGGCAGTGGCTTTACCTTTTGTTTAAACTATATAACCTGAAGTGCGTCACAAAAATGTGTGGAGGGGAAATCCGAAACTCGAAAGTTTTGAGTGCCAAAACATAAAGATGCTGTATCTGAGATGAGTCACTACCGTTAGAGGAACTCCTTATTAGGAAATATCTTTTATTGTCACACTTTTTTGAAAATGAAATACCACACAAAGTGGGTGGAGATCAATAATAAGAGCAAAATGAGTCACCAGATTTCTTTGAAAATTTTTACTCAGTTTTTGGGGCACAAAGTAGGAGATTAGGTAATTTATTTTCGAATATTCTCAAATGAAAAAGTTTCAGAGGAAATTTCAAATAAATAAGGCCACAAAAGTTATTGGGTTTTTTTTTTTAATAATTTCCACTCACACTGAAATTTATTTCCCTATTCCAAAATTCTTTAACATCACATTTCCATCTCTTATCCTATTTTTCTTTAAAAACTGCGCACCATAAATATATTTAAAGAATGCACAATGATAAGAATAAAAAAAATATATAAATATCAGTTGAATTCGAGTAAGCAAATTTTTCGCAACTAAGAATCTGCAAATACATGGACAGTAGATAACACAATCTTCCAGGCACTTGAAATTCACATTTATGTGAAGCCCCATTCCATTTTTATTTCCCCACTCGCTATATAGACACAGTGATTAATGCTGAAAATAGCTTCATGCACTTCCCAATTCGTACTTCATTCTAGGGATGGTCTTAAATAATCGATGTTTCTATAAAAAGTCGATATTTAAATGGAAATGTCGATAAGAATTTGTAGTGTTAAATCATTTACAGAATTATTGGTTTTTCAATATTTTTATAATTATTTTTATTAAAAATAGATCCATGTATTTCCTAATTTATGATTTATTCTAAAGTGTAGCTTAAATAATTAAAAATTCGATACAAATCGATTTAGTTAATATTTCGGTCAGAGCTTTTTAAATTACCTAAAAAGTAATAAGACTGAAAATATCTCCCAATTGATACTTCTTTTAACCTTAAAATTCGTTAAATATAGTACCATTCTCAACAGGGAATTAAATGTCAATTCTAAATTTTGTTTTATATTTTAAACAAAAGTACAAAAAAATTTGTTAGTTAATTCAATTGACAACATTTACAACAAAATAATATTCTTTATAGTCGAACATCTCCAAGTATATTTGTTTTTTCTAGCACCCCCGCTATATACCACCGATATCGGAAGAAACATGTGTTAATCTAAAGAAATCTAATGTGCTTAACCTTGAGTGTGGAGTGGAGTCTTGATTTTTATACTGAGAGCGAGCAAGGAGGAGTGCCACACACAACAACACACACACACACACACACTGGCGTGTGGAATTCCAACTTAATCTGTGGGGCGGCGGGTCTTATCAATGCGAGAATGGGTGACAAACGACAGATAGTCTATTGTAGAGCGTGTTTCGTTACGTACATAAACACACAGACATGGCCGTCCAACTGCCACCAGTTAGCCAGTTAGGCAGTTAGCCAAGCTTGCTAGCCAGTTGTTGTTGTTGTTTCTAGAGTGTTTGCCCAATAAATTCCATCCAGATGAATACGGTAAGTGAACTTAGAAACTAGGGAAGTTTGCTGCCAAGTTTTCCTCGCACACTCGAGCGGCTAGCGGCGGAGCGATAATTAAAAATAACTCTCTCAATACGGCAGCCAGCCCCCTGGAAACAGTTTTCCATTACCTGATGAAATGGCCAAAGGCTAAACAAAAGTGTGAATGCACTTGAAGTTACCTAAACTTATGCAATTATCCAAAGGTCAGGCTCTGTTTGGTGAAAGAATTTATACCAAGAAAGAGGTTGACCTTTATTCAAAAATCTTTAAAAAATATAATTGAAGCCTTTTAAATATTTAAAAATATTTTCTGTATATTTACTTAACTATTTCTTTGATTGTAATTCAAGTAAAAAATTTCTCCAAGTGCTGGCTTACCCCTAAAAAATGTGGCCCTTGACTAACCCACTAAGTGAGCTATTTTAGCTCCAACTCCCCTTAGGTTAGTTACTAGGGGTGGCTAAGTTACTTTTGGCCTAGAATTTCCCAACTTCCTGGGTTTGGGTTATGTCACCATACCATTTCCAAAGTTTGTTGTGGCAAATGCAAATGTGAAAGGAAATGAAAATGGGGGGGAAATGGCTGGGCGGAAACACTTTCCTTTTATTTTATGGTGGCTGGCCTTGACAGAGGTTTTTTGACGATAGAGTTTCCTTTTATATTGATGACGAATTCAGACCACAGACCTCAGACGTCAATAAATGATAAATAGACTTTGCTCCACTTGAGTTTTCGCCGTGTTTCTTGGGAAGGAATTTATCAGGGGCAATTCTCAAAAAGAAAAGAAAGAGGAATGCGAAAAAAGATTCTGTGGCCATGACATTGCAGACTTGGCCGAGTGAAAGGCGTGTGGGGGAAACTCTTGATAAACGCTGTTCTATTTATGCTCTGCTAAATATCTTTTGCGGGCAAACAGGCTCACGTCATTTCTTAATTTGATTGCCGAGCACTCGAAAGGGGGCCTGAGTTTTCTTAATCTATTATTTTCATGCACTGGCATTATCAAGAAATGGGACTGCTTAAAATGTATAAAAAGAAAAGGGAGCAACCGAAAGTCAGACTCTGAATGAGATTTCTGTTAACGAATTAAAAACGCATAAGCCAAGTCAAGGAATCATTTATAAATTCATTTAAATTCCTTAATAGTCTTTACCTTTATTGAACTATTTTTATTGTATTTATATTTCATAAACAATGAGTTGTGAATACAAGAAAAGCAGCTGGTTGCCTTAAGGAAATACCTTTTAATTACGTTTCATTTATTTTTGCACATCAACTATTCTTAAAGCTGTTAAACAATAATATTTACCTTTTCATTAACATTGAGCTGCAGAAATAAGAAATCCCCCTGACACTCTTTTATATAATAACATTTATTTCTTTCAATCTGAATAGATTTTCTGCCACAAGGCAAATCTCATTAATTATGGATATAACCGCTTTTATGTTTAATTAGCGGTGAAGTGCAGAAATCAGTCAACCAGTTTAATGCCAAATTCCTTGGCCATGAATCATATAGTTTGAAATGTGGAGCATAAACGATTTGAAAGTCATGGCAGTATCTCCGGGGTTCAATGATGATAAAAATAGAAGACATCCATGGGATATAGCTGTGCACCTCAATCCCCACCAAACAGATAGGCGTCTAATCTGGATGGATGTGTATCGCGCATAGGTCCCATGCCAAAGCCATTAGTCATTCCCAGAGACTTAGTCATGGACAGGCATAAATATATATTGATGTATTTGCCCCTGTTTAATGTACTCTGGCTATGTGTAGTACGCCTTTTGCTTTACTTTATTGAAATATATTTCTTGCTTCTCACGATCGTCTCATCACCTCGGCATCCACGCTGGCCCGGATCAGGGTGATGTTCCTGCTCAGCTGGAAGGCCAGTTTCGTGTTGAACCTCATGTCCGGCATGTAGGCCGGAAAGTGATCCGGATTGAGGGCAAAGTGTGTGGAGGTATAGTTTACATTCTGCGAAAAGAGAGATATGATATGGGGGAAAGCGATTTGGGTTTCATTCAGACTTTATTCCTTTCGCTGAAAGCGAGAGCGAGCTGGCTTTCTCTGTGTTTCAGTTAATACGCAATTGATGTGTTTATACGTATCTATGCTTATTTATATTATTTGTGTTTATTTGTTTATTTGTTCCTTAATGGCAGTGGCGGTGTGTGTATTTTTGAACAATCGTATAGATAGCATTGCTTATTTGAGACAAAATTTTAAACTAATTTGTTGCTCTGTTTATGCACGGCTCGTAAAGATAAAGATTATGGGAAATTTTTTCATCAGATTTCAAACTGTGAGTAGGTCAGAAATGGTTTGTTTGCAACGCCTTCTTCAAAGGTTTAATCAGGTGTTTAAATTGTTTCTGGCTGTTAAGTAACCTGCTTTGGCATTTTTTGTGCTGTTTTAACGAGTTACGGAATGTTTGTGGAATGTTTAACTGGATTTGTATAATTATTCATGGTGGTAAAAAGTTATACACAACATTATATAATAAAAATAACAAAAGCAAAGTGATTTAAAAGGTGAAATTTTGTTTTACTTGTAATTTATCTTATTATTATTGTGCTCTCAGTTCATTGGCCTGTAATTAATATCATCTTTTGTGGTTATTTCGAAGCCCTAAAATATATTAAATTCAATACGATTCTGTGCGGTCAACACAATACTATTTACTGAGGTCAAAAGAACAAGTTTCTTCAAAGGAAAAAAGTCGCTTTCTGTGATGTATTTGTGCATTTACTTAATGCAT